GCGGAGATCGCCCCACTCAGCTCAAACCACATTTGAACCCAAAACCGCACAGCATGATTCCGCACCCTTGCCTTGCAGGAGGAGAGAGGGTGGTCGCTGCGTGTCAAGGAGGACGGAAAGATAAGTAGTCGAGGGGCTTCGGGGTCCAAAACCCCTAAACCCTCAACCCTCAACGGTAACCTTACTAAAGTTGCTAATCCCTAAGCCCCTCAGAACTATGGGAGCCCTGGAACCCGGAAGACCTGGTGTTGGACTGGTTCTTGGGCTTCACGGCGCGGTTTCAAGCTGGGTGCTTTCATTGCATGGGGTCCACGCAAAAAATGTTATATGCCATAATACAGTACACTACCACATGTCTCACGGTGCTCGAGCTGGGTCTGGTGGACGGCTGCACGTACTGGTTCAATTGAGGTAGCTAAGGGTTAAGGGTTTCCCGGGAGGTCGAGATGAAGGGTTTCGGGGCATAGGAGCTGAGCTGTCTGGGCTTGCAGAGGTTTTAGTGAGACGAAAGGGGAGGGTGTCCTGCTTAGAGGTCCTCTGCTTGCGCAATTAGTAGCGATTCTAAGGTCCGGGGGCTTGGTGTTGTGCGAAAGACAAGGGGCACGTGACACATATCGTTTTCCGCTTTCTCATCGAAGTATTGTTTGACGTTTTAGCTTCAGGTTCGTTGTTTATCTTAGCCTTTTGTTCAGTGTTCCGTCGTCGTTGTCTTCGGCCTTCGGGAGAGAGGGTAAGTGCCTTTGGACAGGCAGTTCGGAGAAACGCCTGTCATAAGTTCTAGTCTGGGCTTCACTGGGTCTAGACATTGCTTAACCCTGGGTAAGTCTAGTGGTCTAGTTACTCGACGGACGTCAAATGGTGCGCCCGGCACGCTCTTTGGTGCATTCCATTAGAAACTGAGTTGCGCAACTTCTAAAGAGCATTGCATTGAAAGCTTCTTGCGTTCTTTGGCGGTTTTCTCTCAGGGTCATGGCGGGAATACCAAAGAGTGCTAGGTATGGCCGAAACCTTCGACCAGCAGAAGTTGACGTGGTAAGGAGTATGAGCCCCTTTTGGGGAACTGCACCAGGCACCGAAGAATTTCAGTCCTTCCTTCCTTCCTTCCTTCCTTTGTCACCCCGAGCTGCCGGCATCATCTTCCCGCCGCGAGGAGGTCAACGACTGGATCCTCGCCGAGGACTGCTAGGGGTTTTGAATAAGAGGCTCAGGAGCTTCAGCACTGAGATTTCTTGGTTATCGATAGCCCACAGGATCCGATGAATATGGGGAGTGAAGGACTACCGCTTTGGCGGGAAGACGCGCAGCCGGCTGAGCAGCAAGCCAGGCCAAGAGGGGGCGACCAGGGGTTCTACCGCCCTTGTTAGTCCCCCCCCCGCTCCCCGTGTGGAGGGGCTAGCTTCCCTTCCAAGCCCCATGAAAAACCCCCATGGTTCCAAAAAAGGTGTCCTTGCTCTTCCAAGGTTTCTTGAAAAAATCCCAGGCGATTGGAATTGGAGGAAGCTTCCGCTGTGAAGATCAGAGACCTTCTGCGACTGCCCACAGGCAAGCCCATGTTCCAGCTCGATGCCACGCAATCCTTCGCCCTTGGCGCGGGCCTCGTCATCGCCATCAACACGGCACTGGTGCTGAAAGGCGAGCGTGCATCTTGTTTTTTGGGCCGGGCGGGGGGAGGGGAGGGAGGGGTTCGGGAGGGGTTGAGGAGGAGGGCGGGGTTGGGGGGGGGGGGGGGGGATGGGATTGCCTTCCCAAAGTTTGTGCATCAGGGGCCTTTCAAGCGCTGGTTGCAGGGAGCAGGGATCTTGAAGTGCGGGGCTACTGTTGAGGGCTGTGTGAAATAATTAGGGGAGCGTTGCCGTGGGCTTCGCAGAGAGGCGACAACCCGCTCTTCTTCGACAAGAGCGAGTTCGAACAGCAGCTACAATCGCAGGGACTGAAGGCCAGCGATTTGCAGGGGAGGGTCTACTGATTTTGTGGGCCATCGGTCAGCCTTTAGCACTGTGCACTAGTAGGGTTTCGAGTTTCGGGTCTAATTTGCGCATACTCCTTGTGCTGGGTACCAGTAGGACATACAACGGCAGGGTCAGCGCTTCAACGTCTCAGTGTTTCGTCTAGACCCGAAGCTGTGCCGTCATCGTTGCTGTGGCCAGGCTCCGGCAGCCAGCACCTCAACGTCGAGCAACTGAGCCAGTGAGGCTGATTACCTTCTTGCGGAGTTCCGCTCGGGGACAATGGGGGAGCTGGTTTCGAACATGACCCAGGAACACCAGCTCCCTGCCTGCTCAATAGACACCTTAGCCCTGAGCCCTAAGTACTGCGCCATCGCGAAACTTGAGGTTGAGAAGGTTCGTTCAGAGTCTTGAAGCGTCAGACCACGAAATTCCGAACGCCCTAGCACAACGGTCCCTGAGAGCCTTGTTCTGGCAACGGCCGTCTAGCCGCCAAAGAAATCTGGTGCCGCCGCGCGTTGGGGGCCCTGTCCACACATGATATGAAGCACTCTCCCAAGGCTCATGCAGGAACACGAACCCGACGCATCGCATCGACATTTGCAGTACCTTGGTCCCTCACGAGGCTGCGGGTGGAGTTGCGCCCTCTCTTGCATGGGCATGGTTCGAATCAACCTGGGCGCCGCCAAACGGACACAGGATCAACTTCACCTGGAGAAGACTTCTGCTTGGTGAAGGAAAGCGGGGTGGGGCTTTAGGCTTCAGGTATGTCCGGTTTTTGGGGTTCCTTGAGCCTTAAACCCGAAATAGCGCGCCTTGCAGGGATTAGGGTTACGGCGCTTTAAACCCCATCCCGAAAGCCTAAACCCTAAACACACCACGGCTTGCGCCGGTACTGCAACTTCGGACGATGATTTCAATCTCCCGAGTTGCTTGATTTTGGAGCCTCTCTTGCTTTAGCTCACCCCAAACCCTGACTCGGAAGCGCAGTTTTCCAAGCAGGCACTGCCAGGCATCGTGTCGCTTTTCCCACCGGCTGCCCCCTGGAGAAGGCCTCCGCCAAATCGTCCCCCTTACGTCAAACGACAGGGTTGCGCGAAGCCCGCCTGGCTCGGTGTCTCTCCACGAAGACCCGGCCTTCGCAGGGACGCAGCTACAAGCCCGCGGACTCGCAGGAGCACTCCCCTCCCCATAAGATAAGAGAATACCTACCAGGCACCTTCACAAGCAGAATGTATATTTCACAGGGGGTTCCTTCTAAACAAAGGGGAGAGGAGTATGATTCACACTTAAGCAACGGAGAGCTCGTGCTGGGCCGCCCAAAACAAGCTGAGGTCACCACTGCCCACCCTTGCTTAAGAAAATCCCCATACCTACCAGCCCACCAGGAAAGGTTCGGAACCCTGAGGCCTCAACCCTGGGAAGGCTTTGGGCTTGGGGGGCTGGGGGGGGGGGGGGGAAGGGGGTGTTTTAGGATCGCATGATTACCATGAAGGTTGGGGCTCCACGGCAACAATAGGATGCTGGGTTCGGAGACATGCAAACAGCAAAGATGGAGGTGGCCTCATGCTCCTCATGAACTTTCATTTGGGCTTTATGTACTGAACGAACCAACAGAACAAGGGCGCACCCTTGTTATCATATTGGAGCACCTGACTAAATTACCCTGTCTGAAGTGGGCCTCGTTGCCCGAAGGGCCCTCAAAGCATGTGGAACCCTTGCGCCACTGAAGCCCCAACATCCCAGAACCCTCGATCCCTGCAACCCTAGCGCCCTGCGCCACAGCAAACCCAGAACAAAATCCTCAAAGCCGCCTGACTGTCTTCGCCGCCTTTGGCTGCCACCTTCCCCCCCCCCCCCCCACCCCCGACCCCCAGCGCCTAAGAGTCCAGGTGCCAGCTCCAAAGCCTGAGCCCCAAGTCGTACATATGTTGGTCGCTATAGTCATGCCATAGTCGCCCCATTGACTACCCCAGGTATCGTGACCCAGCACTTCGCAACCTACACCCTAAAACCGAAGCCCGGAGCTCTGAGTCTTAAGGGCTTTCGGGCTCGAGGAATTTAGGGTTCTAGCCCCACAGCCCAAGACCAGCCAACAACCCTAAGCCACCAAACAGCCTTTGCTAGCCCAACCTCCCGATAGCATCCCTTCGCGGTCCATGGCCGGGACTTGACTCCCCGATGACCGCCAGAACCCCGGATGTTTCGTAGGGTGGGCTTAGGGTTCTTTGTGGTGCCTTTGCTGCAACTTTAGATCCTTAGCCTTTTTTGGGCTTATTGGGTTTCTGTTTTTAATTCATAGCTACCCTCCTAAGTGCAGCCAAGGGTTCAGGATTTCGGGTTTAGGGTTCAGGGCTGCTTCACGGCCCTGGTTGCCGGGGGTCTTGCTGGTACCCTCTGCTTCTCGGGTTAGGACCCTTGACAAACCCTCAAAGCAAAAGAGCACAGAAAAGCCCCAAGCGTCCTCCCTAGGCTTCCCCACTAAGCCCTTGCAGTCAGCTCTCCCGCAAACTCCCTCCAAAAACTTCTTCAAAGAGGGAAGGGGAGGGAGATAGCGCAGCTTGGGGCTAAGGACTTGCGAGGGTTCTCTTTACCTGGCCGGGCGTTCTGGGCCTTTCTTCGGGCTCTATAACTGGATGGCCCAGTGGTACCCTTTACCCTTTTCCAACCCAAACAAGGGAGCCCTTATCATCATACGGTTACTGTGGGCTACTAAGATAGGTCACCGAGTTCAGCAGTCTCCTTTACAACTTCGAGTGCACGAAAACATGGAGTGCTGTTTCGCTTGGGCTCGTGCTCGAACTCTTAGGGATCCGCCGCCCTGGATCCCAAAGCACTCCTGTAGTGGGCAAGATTCGTGAGAAGTACCCCCGAACAGACACGTATCACTTATAGCCCACCTCGCCCACACCGAGAAGAAGTGGTGCACGTGGCTCTATGCGCATACCTGCTCTGTTTGCATCCTGAAGTCCATACGAAGCTACGAGCTCAGGGTTGCAAGAGCTTGTTCCGCTCCAAGCCTCCAAGCTTTTGCGGCAGTTCTTCGTTGCTGCCATGGCGTCGGAAACTGGCTCATTCCAAGCGCCTGCAGCTGCCACAGTTGCCACTGACCGGCAACTGACCCTCAAAAACCTACAGGGGTGCTTTCGGACTTCGAGGCTTCGGTAGGTCATCTTGGGGTTCTCATCGTTTCTTAGCGCATCCCGGGCTCCGCGTGTTAAGGAGCTTAAAACTAAGCTACAGTAGGGTTCTGTTCTTTCAATCTGATTCCAAGGTAGCTCCTGAGTTGATGTTCTTGCGCAAGAACCGATCGAAGCCAGAAGCCCGAGAACTCCAACCACGAGGCTTCAAAAATCGGCCCATGGGAAGTGGAGACCCTGTACATACATGTGCATGAATTCGAGCACATATATTTTTTGATAGATATTGATTGATTTATTATATGTTTTTAGTTTTTAGTTGTTTGTTTGTTATTTGTTAGGAAATCAAATTCAGGAGGTTTCAATACCGATTCTGTGTGAAACACGAACGAAAACCTTATCCCTTCAAGCGTCAAGATTAAAATCACATTCAATTTTCGGCCCAACGTTCTCTAAAAGAAAAGACCTGGATTTCTGAAAATCTCATCACGTTCCAGAAAGAAATACCCATTAAAGATCTTCTCATCCTCCAAAACAGAAATCAAATCAAAAAATAATCTTTTTAATCTCAAAATTCTCCCATTCTTATTATTATTCTTATTATTCTTTTTATTCTTTTTATTCTTATTATTCTTATTATTCTTATTATTCTTATGATTCTTATTATTCTTATTATTATTATCATCCTTATCATTCTTATTATTCTTATTCTTGTTATTATTCTCATTATTCTCATTATTCTTACTATTCTTACTACTCCTATTATTCTTATTACTCCTATTGTTCTTATTATTCTTATTGTATATATATGTATATATATATACATATATCTTATCAATACTACGATGAACAACTCATTAAAACTCAAAATTCAAATCATCTGTAATGTAATATAATAAAAATGTAATGTAAATAGGGGCCCTTCGTGGAGTGGCGCCCTTTTGCCCTCGAAACCCTTGCTTTGCCCAAGGCGACTCCAGCAGAGACCGAGACGGCGGAGAAGCCCGTCACCCTGTCACCCTCGGAAACTTCCAGGTCCGGGGCTTGGGCTTCGGGGGTCCGAAAACCCCGACATCCGAAACTTGGGATGTGTCCCCCTTCTTTTCTAAGAGCCCTTAATAGGGAATATAGCATCCACTATCAGAATCCCGAGTAAGGATTGTTATCTAAGGACTGTGCGAAGAGCACCCCAAACCGAAACACTTGAACCCCAAGCCCTACAGTAAGGGGGAAGTTTGTGTTAGCCAGGCCTCCGAACTGCATCCCGGCACCCTGAAACCCTCGGCCCCTCTGGCCTGACGAGCGCTTTGCAACCTGTAACCCTGATTGCTTCGGGCTTAAACGGGCTCAAGCTCTCGGGCGTTCTGAAAGTTCCAAGTGGCCCAAAGCCTACGATCCCGGGTACCGGCCTACGGTTTATGTGCGTCTCCTTGCAAAACCTTCGCTGTTGTGCCTTCTTGGGCTTCCCTCATCTACCATTTCTTTTTTGTTAGAGTTCCCAGTTTCTACCCTCCTCAAAGAAGCAGAGGGCCCCTTTGGGGGTTTTTTCATCAAACGACTTAAGGCCGGGCCCCGATGGCCAGACTGCGGCCACCGCAAGCCCGGCCACCACGGCATCCTGGCTGCGGCTTCCCCTGTGTCAGGGGTTTAGGGTTTAGGGTTTAGGGTTTGGGGTTTTGGGTTTAGGGTTTGGGGTTTAGGGTTTGGGGTTTAGGGTTTAGGGTTTGGGGTTTAGGGTTGCAGGAATTAGGGTTTGCCCCTGTTTTGAGGGTTTGTCTGGATTCGGCTTCGGGTTGAGGGTGCTTAGGGTTTAGTGTTGTTGAGGGTTTGGGGAGGAGAGGCGTTTGCTAGAGCGCTTCTTGATGGGAGACTTGATGGCCTCAGTGGTAGGCGATTTTGTTTCGCCCCTGGAACTCCCCAAACGCCCCAACTGAGAGCGCCATAAACTGCCCACCCGAAACCCTAAACCCCAAACCCTAAACCCCAAACCCTAAACCCTAAACCCCAAACCCTAAACCCTAAACCCCTAAACCCCTAAACCCCCAAAGACCTCCAAGAGCACGCCGAAGGCTCCGGCACCGGCTCCCGCTCCACAGGGTCCGGCGCAGCCCGGCTTCCACACGGAGCCACTTAGGGTTTTAGGGTTTTGGGTTTTTTGGGTTTTTGGGTTTTAGGGTTTTAGGGTTTTAGCGTTTTAGGGTTTTAGGGTTTCAGGGTTTTAGGGCTTTAGGGTTTTAGGGTTTTAGGGCTTTAAGGTTTTACGGTTCAGGGTTTAGAAGCCTCTCCCCTGACCCCCCCCCCCTCTCAAAAGGTGATCCCTTACAAGGAATCCTTCTCCTCCAACGCTTGACCCCAAGCCTTTGCGTCTTTTCGCCGATGGAGTCGGGCTTGATCTAGAGTATGGCTGTTTTTGTTGGGAGAAGGATCTTGTTGTTTGATGGTGTACAGCCGAGAGGGTACCAAGATGGGCCCCCTGAGTTCGATCAGTCCCCCAAGCAAGTAAGAGAGAAGCTTGGAGTCCACATGAGATGTTCAGGCCGAGGCTTGGGGCCGAGGAAATCATGGGCCTGTGTGGGTGCCCTGAACGCCGAGACCATAAGTAGGGCCTTTCATAATGGGCCCAGAATTCTGATCACCCACCCCACGTCGAGGAATTTTCTCGAGGTTTCGCTGCTGTTTTACTTGGATCCTCTTGGGCTTGAGAAGTCTTCCCTTCATGCAGTGGACTACAGCATGACAGTTTTCTTGCGCAGCTCTTCAAACCCCCGACAGAACCCAGGACCGGGAGTAGTCCCTTTTTTCCCGTTTTTAGGGTCGGGGTTCCCTTCTAATCCCCTTAAAACCCAAAAGGGCACCCTTTCTATTCCTAGGTTACCCCGGGGCTAGGAACCCTGATGTGAAGGGTCTGCCTTAGCTGAGGAACCTGGCCGAGCTGATGGAAATCACCAACTGCACGCACCAGGCACCAACTGCAGTTTTGCAGTGTTTGGCTTCTGGATGTTGGGTTTGAGGGCTTGGACCCCCAAAAATTTTAGGGCTAAGGGTTTATACAGGTCGAGTGCTCTGCTGACATGGCAGTTTAGGGCGCTTATTCTCAACTCACGGGGGGTCCCTTCAGGCCCGAAGGAGCTGCTAATGCTAACCCAACACTACTACTGGCCTAGGGCCTAGGGCTTAGGCCACATTCTGGACCAAAAGAAAAGGAGCCCGGCCTGAAGAATGCCCTAAACCCCAGACCCTACACCCTAAACCTCAGGCAGCGATGCAAGCCCTTCAGTCCTGCGACGGCAACCTGGCCCGTGCCTGCGACAAGATCCTCTCAGCAAGGGAGGCCGCCCGTCGCAGTTTCAGTGTTTTGGGCTGTAGAACCCTCCCCAACTCTACTGTTTGCTTAAGAACCCCCCCTCAAACAACATCAACGTTCTTCCCTGGAAGGCTGACAAGGGGAGTGTTTTTTTGTTGGGGGGGGGGGGGGGGGGGGGGTGTGCTTGTGCTGTCAGGCTAGGGCAGGCATGGTGCAGCACACATAAACAGGCGCGACATCAGGCACCGACGATCTTGGCTCAGGCCAAGGGAGTCGTGCCAGCAGAACTCTTTTCTGTGTTCTATTATCAGCTGCCAACTTTTGCCTTAATTCTGCCAATGCGATTCAGTACGGCTTTGTTGGCCGCAGAAAAAACCAAATCTGCATGCAGTCGCCGATATGTTTATTTAGCACATAGTATATCAGAACCCCACAGGATAGCCGCTTTCAAAGTATGATAAAAAAATGTCCCTATTGGTTTGTTCTGCGGGGGTGGGGGTCATCGCTCGGGGCTGGGGATTGCCAAGAAACGGTGGCCCTCACTTGAGCAAGTCACAAAGAGCAGGGGAGCGCGACTCCCGGTGTCCCCTCTGGGTCTCGAATGGCTTGCGGGCCCAGTGGTACCCTTTTCCCTTCTCTTGGTTCAAGGTTTCCTTCTAAAGTAACCAACCCAAAAGGGTACCCATTTTGTAATATGGTTACTGGGCTACCAAGATGGAACTCCCCAAGCATGAACGGGTCCGATCATTAGAATCTTGTGGTCTTTGGCTGAATTGGGCTTCATACTACGGGCCTTCCATATGCGCCTCTGACATTGGTAGTGAGAAACAGGGAAACCCTAAAGGTATGTGTGCATAAAAGTATATACATAGATGTATATACGATGTACAGATAGGGCATAAGAGGTCGTCAGGCAAAATGACGGCCAATAAAACGGGCCATACCTTTAATCCTAGGCGACATACAGCTCAACTCCCGGTATCATCCTGCCAAAAACCCTTCAAAAACCCACATACACCCAGCAAAAAGCACCTAATTGCTTCGTCCCCAAAAAACACACAGATCTGAGAGTCCAGCACCATGCGACTGTTAATTCGTGTTACTTGGCTATTACTTAGCATCCCTTACCATGAGTTAATATTGCTATCAACGACTCTTAAGAAACCTACAGCCCCCAAAGCGCCATGACCGAGGCAACACGACAGGTTCTGAGCCAACGGGGCGAGCCTCGGCCTTCTGTTTCTTTTACATTCCAAAGATGGGGGGACTTTAAACGAAAGGAGGGCAGAGAAGGATCGAAGCTACAGGCCAAGGTGCCTCTTCCGAGAGACTTCGGGGAGGCAGGTTTGGGGCGGCAGGCTTGTGGCAGTTGAGCTCAGCTGCCGCACTTACTTTCATACCGAGAGCAAAAGGCCTCAAGCCGTTCAAAACTCCATTGGTTTTCTTTGGGCACCACCCAAAACAAAAGGAAGCAGGACCCCGACAGAGCCCCTCTAACCTAAACCCCTAAAACCCTCAAAGCCCCGCTTGGGCCCCAAGTCAGCCGAACGCGCCTCGAAGGGGCCTGGTGCCGGTGGGCTTCCCAACGTCGCCGGCACAGGCCGGGCTTTCACGGGCTTTCACTCTTCGCAGCTCTGGATGCAGAGGGGCTCATTAGGAGCTTTTTGGGAGTTCGGTTTAGGGTTTAGGGTTTAGGGTTTAGGGTTTGGGGTTTGGGGTTTAGGGTTTAGGGTTTAGGGTTTAGGGTTTAGGGTGGATACTATGGATACTTCCAGGTGGAATACTTAACTGGGGGTGCGGGGCTCTGCCTTCCAGATCCTGCCGCGGGTCTGGCTGTGTTGAGTGGCTCTGTTTTCTTCAGGGAGCTAGTTCTTCCAGGACTCGCCGATTTCGAAGGGTTGTGAATCTGTGAATCTGTGGCTTTCATTCGAAGACGCGAGTCCTTGATGCAACCCTCGTGGCAGATTGTATAGACCAGCTCTCAAAAAGGGATTAGAGTCTCGCGTATACCCCTCCTTTTCAGGATCATTTTGGTCGCCAAACTCCCTAGTTCCCTACAAAGAATCCACAACCCTAATTATACCTAGTTCCCTACGAAGAGCCCGGAAGTTTTAGTTTTTATGAGGGGGAGGGGTACAAGTCTTCTGCGTCTGTCGGCTTCCTCGAGCCGTCCCTTCGGGACGCATCTCCTCTCAGGAGCTCTAGTAGAGGGCTTTCGGGACTTGGGTGTTGACTTCGGGCCTTTTGGGTTTTAAAGTTTTTCAGGGCCTCAAAACCCTAAACCCTAAAACCCCAAGTTTATGGACTTAGGGGGCAGCGCTGAGTCCGCAAGGCTGGGGCGTTCAGCCTCTGGCCGCCATGGCTGGGACCTTCGGGCGTTCGACCTCCGGGACCTCCGCACCAGGCGGTTCAGCGCTCTCCTCGTTTTTTTTCGGAGCTTTCTTTTAAGGAGCCCTTCACTAAGAAAAACCTTCCCGAAATTGCACCAAGGGTCCTACTCTGCTTTAGGCATATGAATGGGTTCAAGGTTCAGAGGGGTTGAGGGCCACCATAAACCGAAACCCCGCTCGCATCAGACTCCGCAGGATGCACCAGGGTAGCTTCCGCCAGAACTTCCCCCTTTTGGGGCCTCTTAGGGTCGACTGTTGAGGGGCTTCTCCGTTTTCGAGCTGGTTGTGGGTCCATGCCGTCCATACCTGGCTCAAGTGGCTAGGAGTAGGTTTAGGGATTTCGACCCACCCTCCCTAGCTGTCCCTTCTCAAAGCGATGCCCGCAAGCCGGAACTTCCCAAGCCTGCTAACCTGGTTTTGGAACAGCTTCCATATTAGCAGGTGTTGAAGATTTCGGGGGAATGCCAGGAGAAGCCGCCCCTCTGCCGACGCTGGCTCCGCAAGTCCTAGGCCCGCTGGGACTCAAAGACTAGGTTCTCAACTGGGTTTAGGGGTTTGGGGTCTTCCTTAAGGAGCATGCAAGTTGAGCTACCATAAGAGGGATGTACCTTATGATGGTAGAGTTCCCTCTGTTTTGGAGTTTGCGGGGCGGGGCGAAGTGGCCACCGGCCCCGGTGTGCACCTTCATTGAATGAACTTGCGGGCAGGCTGCTTGTGCGCTCCGTCCGCGTCTTTCGCTTGACCTCCGTTTTCCTCAGCTGCGTGGCGGCTTCGAGACGAAAGGCTGGTTCTTGCTACATGATCGACGTGGCCTCTCATTGCGCATCTGCGCCAGTTGGATCCTCGAGTGGGCACCGCCTGCGCTCTGTGTCCCATGTAAATTGTGGTCTCTGACGATGCAAAAAAGTCGGTCCTCGGCCACGTACTTCCCTTCCGCTCCCTTGGCCAACTGTTGAGATCTTAACTTCCAGCGTCTCAGCTTTTGCAGCATAGCATTCGCCTGCACGCGTGCGGCGCCAGGCCACCAATGCGCGCATATCCGGGTCCCTCAGCTGTCAGCACTCGTAGCGTTGAAGATGCGCGCTGCCGAAATCGCTGCACGAAGCAACGACGCCTGACCGGACCCAATTTCAGACTGTGTACCGGCTTAGAATACTGTCAAAGGGATCATTCAGGTTTTAGAGCAGGGCTTAAGGCGCAAGCCGAGAAGAGAGCTTCTCGCACGGAACCGGACTCTTTTGGCGAGGTGTGGAGGAAAGAGGGGAGGGGGGGGGGGGCGGCGGTTCTCGATAGAAGGGGCGACTTCTTGGTTTCAGGGAGTGCCTTGAGTTTGATACCTCCCTGCAAGCCAGGTGGCGGCAACCCTGCAGCACAGCCGCTGGGGCGGTAGATGCAGGTGTTGGGATTCTTCTGGTCTGTTCCACTTCTGGGCCTTGGAGCTTCAGGCCTTAGGCAGCCCACCTGCACACCCCTCTTCCACCGGCTTCCAGCTCGGGATAGAACTCCGATGTGTCCACCCGAAAGGGTCCTAAAGAAATCTACTTGGGAGATGATTCTACAAGCCCCCAAACACATCAGTGACCCTCTGAAAGGACGGGAAGGGCCCAAACCCTCTCAATTTTCAGAACCCACAGTCAAGGCCGCTGCTACCCCGGCCGGTCCAGAGCAGCAGGCCGAAGAAGATTTTGGGTGCCAAAGGTTGAGAGGCTTAAAGGCTTCTTGTAAGATCCTCGGAAAATTGGGGGGTTGGGGACCCTAATGTTGCACCCGGAGGGGTCCTCCATAAAGGCAAGCTTGCCGTGCCGAGATTTCGTATCCGAGGTGGAGGCTTTTCTTCGGTTTCTTTGATCGTCAATCTGTAGTCATTTCACTCTAGTTCCTTTCTTCTGTTTCGTCGTCCCTTAAATCTAGAAAAGGGAAGGTACCCTCGACTGTTGGGAGTGTGTGAGTGGGCCCAACATCACACAATACCTCAACCTGTCGACCAACCCTAAAGCCCTACAGCCTGAAGCCCTAAACGGCCGAAAAAAAACCCTAAAAACCCTAAAACCCCCAAACCGCTAAAGCCCTTAAAGCCCCCAAAGCTCCCCCTAAAACCCCCCCTTTTGAAAACACACACCCCCCCTCAACGGAGATCACCGTTTCCAGTCCGGCGCGCAGCGAAAGCAACCCCGTGGCCGCCTTCATCCTCGGCTCCGGCGACTCCGTGGTGTTACGGGGATAGGACTCATAGGACTCCCCCTTTAGGTCTGGAGGTTGAGGGTGTAAAGCCTTTGAGGGTATACCTTACGAAGCCAAGGTTTTTGTGGTAGGTTGCCTAAGCGAATCTCCTAGCAGCCTTCGAAGAAGTGGGCTTGCGGCTCTTCATTAAACTGGAACATTGCTCGGACTGTCAAGCTTCGGCTGTGCTAAAGTACTTGCGGTCGCTTTTCCTAAACCCCAAAACCCTAAAACCCTTGACCCCGGAATCTTTTAAGGGACTCCCCCTGGCATAGCGGATCCAGTCCCCCCTGGAAGTTTCGCTGTTTAAGAAGCCCCATGGAACATGAACTGCGAATTGGCTCCGCAGCGTCCTGTAAAACGCCGTTTTCCCGGGTGCACCCCGGAACGCAAATACACCCCGGGCCCCACATTTCTTCTAGAGCTCTAAAGCCATCCATTCCGACAAAATTAGCTCAGCACCGTCTGCAAAATGCCTCAAAACGGAGGCGTCGGCTGCCTCTCCGGCCTGGCAGTTGGCATCTGCAGCGCATTGCTTTGACTCCTTTGACCCACTTTAGAGGTTCGGGAGGGAAGCATAGGGCAACACCCCCCTTGAGAAATGTATATTTCTGTTTATACAAAACTCAGGGAAATATCCAAAAAATCGAACTTTTGATGCTTTTAGCAGACTTCTCAGGGGAGTGTGGTTAGCACTTGGGCTTTAGGGAGTGAGCTCACCTGCAGCCAGGCCCCACAAGAGGCCCCTGGTCGAGCAGAGGGTTGTACGGCAACAGGGTGGAATGGCGTGTAGCGTTCAGGGCACCAATGGGTCGAGTGTCGTCAGAGTTTGTGGCCCTCCCTCTTTTCCGCGCGAGCAGCTGGCATGATTCGATTCCTGGCTGCCTGACCATGCGAGAGGAAAAGCCGGCACAAGGCGAAGCAGAAGCAAAGCCCAAAGAATCGCTGCACGGGCTACCACGGACGGCGCGCCTCGCTGTAGCATTTTGGTTCTCGAAACCTGCGAACAGCGCTTTAACATAGTTTTCTCAGTGCCGCTGCCATGGCTTTTCGCTTGGTGGCGCTCGGACTCTTCGCCTTTGCCAAAGCCGAAGACATTGCCAGCGCAGTCGAAGTTGACGATGAGTGCTCGGGCGAGAAAGCCTGTGCTTTGAACGCGCTGCAGCGTCATGGCGTCCAGAGTGTCGATGAAGAGTTGGCCGAGGTGGACGAGAGTGCAGCACAGCAGTACTCTGTCTATTGGGTGTATGGCAACGCAGGCTACAATTGCGACCAGGTCTGCTCGACGAAGCAGTTCCAGGGCACTCGCATGGTCTGTGATGCTCGTGCCTTTGGCTTGGCACCGGATGCTGCAGGGGTCATGAAGGCTGCGCAGGCGGCAGGCACAAGGTGCTCGATGACATGGGCAAACAACGGTGCCTTCGCCAAGATTTGTAAGCCTTCGCTTTCGAGTTGCGCATGGGGGTAAACAATGGGGTAAACAATAAGGGTCCATAGGTAGGCGCATCTTTTGTCTTGTTTTTCCCGGCTTTTTCGCAGGTGCCTACGGCCACGCTTTCGACAACGTGCCCGCCATCTGCATGGCGTCCAAGTGCGGTGTGGATCCTCAGGGCCTTTGCGCCTACAGCGCCCACAATGCGGCGACCTGTGCAGGCCCGGCACCCAATGGCTTCAGCCGAATTTGCCCTTGCAACGTGGCCAGCCAGACCCCGGCACCAGCCCCGCAATACTCCCACTACGCGCCAGCGCCAGCACCGCAGCAGTCCCAGTACAGGCCGGCGCCAACACCGCAGCAGTACGCGCCCGCCCCAGCACCGCAGCAGTCTCAGCACGCGCCAGCTCCCCAGCAGCCCCAGTACGTGCCCCCAGCGCCTGCGCCGCAGCAGTCCCAGTACGCGCCCACACCAGCACCTTCAAAGCACGAGAAGTGCGTGACCAAGACGGACATCAGCTGCACCATGGCAAGCTGCAGCAAGACCATGGGCCCAACCGAGTGCAACTACAAGGATGGTAGCTGGATCCACAAGCGATGCCACTGCAAGAAGGGCTACTGCTTCAAGGATGACAAATGCCGCAAGGCTTAAGTGGCTTAGGCCTTTCTGGGCCCAGCTCCAGCCTGTCCGCAGCCAGACGCAGCTGCAGGCAAGCTGCCAGCGATTCTTCGACCTTTGCCTGCGAGAGGAAATGTGATCTGGAAGGCTTTGCTCTTGCTTCTGCTTCCGGAGAGCTGAGACCAGCGACTCCCCCCCAAAAAACATCAAAACATAGGACGTTGCCTTTAACAAGGGGAGCCCTGAAAGCCCTCTCGGACTCTGCGCGCCCGGTCTTGTAGCGGCTCCAGGTCCAAAGCCAGAGCCACAGCTTGAGAAAACTGCTCTCAATTGAAAGCACTTTGAAAAGGATTTCCCCCAAGAAAACGGGAGAATCTCACGCCTTAATTGGGTTTCAGAGTCGGCGTGGTGTTCTTAGGTGTTTTCGGAGGGGGTTTCTGTCGGATAAAGACATTTGCATAGCTGTGGAGCGTCCGCGGTGGATCAGCGGAGATGACGGCGCCGTTGCCCGACGCGCTGCCGCCGCATGCCACCACCCTGGTCTTCCACACCAGCAGGCTCCGCTGTTGGTGTTTCTTACGTTGCTGACATGGTTCTGCCGCTGTCCGATTCATACTGTTAGACTGTGCTAGTATTGCAACTTGTAAGCCCCTGAGACATCTTGAAGGCTCGAAAGCCCCGAGACCGTGCCCCTGCCCCACGGACAAGCTCCGAGATTTTCATCACATGACCCCCAGGTCGAGGTTGAATTGAAACACCTTTTCAAGCTCTACGGGTCCTTATCCCGTTGCAACCCTGGACCCGTAGGGGCTTTCCTTCTCTAGGGCGCCCAAATCAACCCCAGTAAGCCCTGAAAAAAAACCAAAAAAAAAACCAAAAAAACTCAAAAATGCTAAAAACCCGAAGAACCCCAAGCCCTAAAACCCCCCTCGAAGCCCTCAGCACTCTTCGGCAGGAACACGCTTTACGCAGAGTTCATGGCTCATCTTCTCAGCTCCTGCGGCGGTCTCCTAGGACTCCCGGCCTTCGGCTCTTTGGGGGGCTTCAGAGGGGGCCCACAGAGCTGAGGGGGAGGAGGGTGGCAGAGGGGGAGCAGGGGAGGAGGGGAGCAGGGAGGGGCACAAGATCACCTGAGACAAATCTCATGGACTGAAAGCCTCACACAAGAGCAGCCCTAAAGTGTTGGGGGTTATTAGGGCTTTGGGCGCGTATTGGGGTCAAAAGGGTTAAGTGCTTCGAGCGGCGCCACCGGCGAGGACTCGAGATGCTCGACATCGTGCTTTGCGAGTCCCCTAAGGAGGCGGATGCAGTCCTTTCTTTCCGGAGCCTTCGGGTTCATAGTTCGGGCCCTGCACTGGTTTTTTTTTTGGGGGGGAACTAGAAAAGTCTAGGCCTAGGCCGGGTCTTCTGCTGATGCAAGCTCGGTATGCACCGGACTCGACGCCAACTCTGAGAGAAAACCCTCCAAAAACTTCCCGGAGACTCCGAAAATGAGCCCGCAAAAGCCCCTAACAGCCGCAACAGGAGTCTCCAACAGTCTATGTAACCCCAAAGATAGTGCAATCCTCTTAAGTCTCCCCTTAACAAGAAGCCTCCTAGGCCCCTAAATTTGGGGACTCCCCCAGCTACACTCCCTCGCCAGGTTGTTGTCAACTTCACCAGCCACGAGGCCTGCCGCTGCGCCATAGACTCTCTGAGTGCAACACAGCTGGGACGGGCGGGGATTGAAGGGCCTTATAACAGGCTTTACCCTAAACCCTAAACCCTTCAGGGTTTAGGCTTGAGGGTTCTAAGGCAGTTTTCTGGGGATCGCCAGCCGTTTCCGCTGGATCTGGAGCTTGTGTAGTCCAGGTTTGTTTTAACACTCGAGGTCTAGAGACAGGGGTATGCACAACTGGCATCTGCCTGCAGAAAGGGGTTGGGTGGGCTTGGAGCCCTGCATATTGGCTCCACGTAGCCAGTAACCATCGGATGACACAGATACAGGAGCCGAATACAGTCACAAAGGCTTCTCCCCTTACCATAACGCAAGCTACCCAATCCATCCCAACCATAGGAAGATTCAGCGTGCCACCCCACATGCCCAAAGCCAAGCCCTTAAACCCGAAAGACGAAGCGCGAGCCTGCAACCCTAAGCCCCCCATGCTCTCCGAGGAGATGATAGGGCCACACATGGGGGACTTGGTGCTGGAGATCAGTCTCGCTCCAAGGCAGAACCTCACTTTCCAAGAGGGGCTTCGGGGATGTGTTTCCTGGTAGGTTCCCTTCTAGAGTAAGAATTCGCCTTTATGGTCTCATGTTCCATTTAGAGCAACGCTCAAGTTTGCCGTTTTGCTTCGTCAGATGGGGGTCTCCAGAACTGAGGCCCACTTCTACGCCACGAAACACAGTAGAAGCGTCAGGAGCCCCCGCAAAGGGACCCGGTTTTTTTTTGAAAATCAAAAGATGTGCTTGGTGGTGGCTTCTTGCCCACTCCAAGAAGCACCCCACCTTCTTTCATGAATCCAAGCTGGAGCCCGAACCTCTCGTAACTGGGATGCCCAGTATCACCCTTATTCCACTTCCTGGTGCAACATGAACTTCATTGATTCCTAGGTTACGGGGAAAACAGGGACATTTGAGTGAAGAACCAGCGCACCATTGCATTCACGGTTTGGGCTGCAAGGTGTGGTCGGCAGACAGCTTAGTATGGCCAGGAGAGCAAGAAAGTGGAAGGTTGATTCGGAGCACCACCGTGTCCTTTTTCCAAGTTCGATTTCTTACTCCGAAGTTTGGCCACGTATGAACCGAACAAACTCCATGGGCTCCAGGCAAGCACGCTGGGAAGATTCGCTGCAAGATGTGAGTCTCCAAAGTCTGCTTGGTATCCACAATTGTGAAGGCCGTTGGTCACGACTGTGTTCTCTTATTCCAGATGTTGTCTACGTTTTCGTCCGCATTCATGGCGGTTCTCACGAACTCGAGAGCGAAAAGCAGTGATCTCCTTTTTTCCTCTACCAACATGGTGTTGGGGTTTTGGGCCGAGGGTTGGAGCCCTTAAGAGTTTCATGTCCATCGCAGGCAGGGCTTGAGGAGCAACTTGGCCTACTTTTTCAAGCAGCCCATCCCTCACGAGCGCTTCGCCAAGGCGAGCGAGCTGTGCCGGGGGGAAGGGAGGAGCTTAGCTTGCTGATTCTTCGTAGGAAATTCGGGGAACTACGGAACTAGCTATATATTTTTTGTATGGAGTGAATTTAGGGGGAGAGGGCCACTTGTAAGTCAGGGAGGCGGAGCTCTTGGCTTCGGCTTCTCTGGATTTAGGCCCACTCAGCGCGCCGAAACACCCCCCCCAAAAGCCCAAAACTTGAGAAGGGAAATCCAACATCGCGCGCCAGGCCCTCCACGTCCTTTCCGAAGGCCGAGAGCTTCCTTTGCGCGTGGCGCACGCACGACACCTCGGTTTTGAGACTCGGAGCAGAAATTTCGGCGGTCTTGGGAAGGAACGAGGGGGGAGTGCTGCAAGGGGGGCTCTCGTTGCCTTCTGCGCCCCCCAAAGCACCAGGAACTGGCGGCTTCGGGACCGGGTCCAGGGCGTCAGCTGCAGCACAGCGACGCCCGCAGCACAGTCCTCCTCCGGGACTGAATTTGGGTTTTTGGCTTATGGAGACGAGCTTGTGGGAATCTTAGGGGGGGCGGGGGTGGGGGAAGGACGCTCCCGACAGCTAAGGCCCCCAGCAACTCCAAAACATTTTGTTTAAGGAATGTTCCGTTTCTTGCAGGTTCTTCAAGGAGATCTTTGGCGCATCCTTTCGGGGAAAGTTGGTTTCGAGCCCTTGTACTGGGTCCTGCTTGGGAAGTCATCGCGAACACGCTACGGGCACGCCTTTATTGCCAAGGTGGTGTCCTGAAGCAACTCTTCACACGTTGCTGAAATTGTTTCTGGGTCGCAGGGAGGCATGAAGCTCAGAAAAGCCCTAAGCGCCCTAACCGCCAGGAGGAGCCCGCGAAGCTTCCTTGGCCGCACAGCTTCGCGCTTGGCGGAGAAAAGTCGCGACAAATTTCGGGGGACGCGGAGCACGTCTTTCATCTCTAGGATATTCCTTAGAGCTGCGGCCTTAGAGTTAAGAGATGTAAGGGGCTGGGGAGTCTTCGGTTCCGGCTCCAAGCACTTTCAAAACACAGGAAATGTTAGGCCCTTCTTTCCAGCAAGCCCCCATGTTCGACTGGGATGTGTTTCAAAGTCACGGTCCTCTAAACTACCCAAAATGCCCATTCGAAATAGATGGGCCCCCCTCTAGTGCGAAGGCCCCCAGCGCCCGCCTGAAAATTCAAGACCCCAATCTATGCGGACCGAGACCAACGCTTGCTTGACAAACCGCCTCCCTGCTTCGCTGCGGGACCCAGACACTCGATCAAGAATTCGGTGATTCTGAAATGTCCGGGCGAAACCCCTGTTCTTCATTGGGAGCGGGGAGCGGGCAACGGGGAGGCTGCATGTGGGACCTAGTTAGACCTGCTTTTGTCGGAAGGAAGTCCCTCTCTCTGCTCCCAATTCCGAACTCGAACGGCCCAGTGCTTAGCATGAGCGACACCTTAGCTCAGGCCTGTTCTCCAACGCAGTCCGACCTGAGGTCAACGCACAGTGTCCTAGTCTCCTAATACCAGGCATTATAGAGGTTCCCTAAATTGGGTGATTTTTTCGGAGTTTATGGCAAAGAGCCTTACATTTTAGGGTACGAAGAAAGAAACAAGAATTAGAGCAAGCCCCATATCTCACTGGCCAAAGTTTGAGACATAGACTCAACTGCCTTCAAAGAAAGACACGAAGGTTACCGAAGCCCTGGCACGGTGTCATCTTAAGGCACCTTTGTCTCACGATGACCTCAGACTCGCAAATGCACTTGGGAAAGGAAGCTTTTATGGCAGCTTAGGGTTCTCAGACAAAGTGTCATTCCGAATCCCGGATCTCCCCTCTCATCCTGTCTTGAATGCCGAGACCCCCTCGAGCTCGTCATCCACACGCTTCTTTTCCATCTCAGAGCCCCCCCAGGAGCAGCGGCTGTATGAGCCGTGTGCTTCCAGCACCCGAGGAATGCCGCCCTCGAGTTGAGGCTCCAGCATTCATCAGTGACTTCTTCTCCTTTTGACCACAGCTCCCCAAATCTTTGTACCCAGACTGAGAGGTTGATCATTGCCCTTTACATTGGACCCACATCTTGCTACTTGCAACCCCAAACCCAAGAGCGTCAAACCTCGCAAGGTCTTCTTCCCGAATGAGTGACGGAAGGGTTCCCGTTTTGAGAGTTGGGAAAGCCTGCGAAAGCCTTCCGCGAGTGTTTCGCGCGTATCGAGCTGTGGTTCCTGAAGCCCAGCGTGTTGCTGTGGGGCTGTGGGTGTTGGGCTTCGCATGCCTCGCATGCCTCGCGCAGTCACCAGGATGAGGCCTCTCCGGAGATTCGGCGAACCATCCTTGTAACTGTGACTTCTGGAGCTCTCGCATACATGTCTGTGTCACGTGATTGACAGGGCCCAAAGGAATGGCTTCGTTAAGCATAATAGCTTTCCGTTTCCAGGGATTGAAAGGCCCACAGGAACGGATTGATGTCTGCGGCGTGATGCATGCGTGTGTGCTGCGTGCATGCCTGTGGTGTGGATGCGATGTGATGTCTGTGGTGTGATGTTTGCGGCATGCGTACGTTTCGTGTCTGTGCGTCGCGGGACTTAAAGCCGTCTTCGCCAAAAGACAAATTGGCGAAGAGCGGGCGAGGCAACAAAGTAAGAGCATAGTAATGTGGGAAATGAGAGAGAGAGAGAGAAAAGAAAATAATAATAATAATCACGCAGAAGAAGAAGAAGAAGAGAAAGTGAGACATAGTAAGAAGCGGAGAAAGAGAGACGGAGAAATCATTTCGCTTCGGATCTCGTGTCGTACGATCGCGCTCGTGTCTCTTTTGTTCGCCGAGTACGTGACATGTGTCCGCATTCGGGTTCGTGGCCCCTTTCAAGTTTCTGGGCCTGTGGGGGAGAAAGGGGGCAGGGGGGGGGGGGGGGGGGGGGGGGGGGGGGGGGGGGGGGGGGGGGGGAAAGTGGGGAGGGAATCTGGGCAGCCAGTTGGAATAGTAGACTCGAGACACCCTTGCAACCTTACAACCTTCAAAACCCTGAGCCGGCTTGGGGAGCCTCACAGAAAGGGCGCTGTGCCTCGCCGAAACCATGATTGGAGCACGGAAGCTCCTGCGTCTGCAACCGTATTCCAGCCTCCAGGAGTCTTATCCGAGACCTAAGCTTCAGGGACTATCAGGGCTTTAGGATTTTTCCTAGGTTACTCCTGGGCCTAGTTAAGGTTGGAGGCCTTTCAATCTCAGCCGCAGCAAGAGCTGTGGGATTGGATGCACGTTTCACTCCACGACTGAGATAGGGCGAGGGTCTGACGCCTGCATGGAAAAGTTTATGCAACATGCATGATTATGGTTATTTTATTGTGTATATATGTACATACATACATACATACATACATACATACATACATACATACATACATACATACATACATACATACATCTATATCTGTATATATATGTTATGATGTAGTAACGAAACCATGTACTAACGTGTCTCGCCCCCCCCCCCCGGGCTCTCTGAGCGCCTCTTTAGCTGCAAGCAACATCCAAAGAAGCGTCACCGTTCCCTGTGGGGCCCGCTGCCCAGCTCATGATGTTTGAAGATCCCCGGTCAGTGACGGCCCGGGGAAATGCACACTGCTGCATCAGCAAAGGCACGCTGCAGCGAGGCCTTACGCCCTTCGATTTGCTGCAGCGCCTGGAAACGCGGAAATGCCGAGAGCAACGCCTACATGCGTGAGGGTGGCCCATGGCTCGAGACAAGGTCGTTTGGGTGTCGTGTTTGTTGCTGTTTGTGACACTCTAGATAGCTCGGAATTGGAGCTTGGCTTTGCGCCTACGACAAACCTTTTGCACAGGAAAGCGTCCGCAGCTACGACCGGCGTCTTGCAGCAAAGCGCACACGGGCCACGGCACTGCAAACAGAATCATTTGCCCATGGCGGCTTGACAGAGCTTCACGCTGCTTTTGGTGCTTAGGACAGGTACAGAGCAAGTAGCTGCTTCCTGGATCGGAGCATCCCTTCCTATGGACCTGTTTAAGCGGCTGAGTTGAGGTGGATCGCATTCACATGTTTCTGCAATCAGTGGCGGGCCTCCACTCCCACCCACTCAAGAGGCAAAATCTTGCCGGCCTGATTGAGAGCTTGTTCTCAGGGATTCGGTATCCTAAAACCGCCAACCCCTACAGCACAATCCTCCTTACACCCAACCAGGTGTCCCCAACCTTTGGGGCGAAAGTTGGGGCTCGGAGGAAGTCGAAGTCCATATCATCCCCGGGAGTCACAAGTCCCAAGAACCTTTCCTACCCGACCCACTTCTTACAATCCCAGGAAAAGAGAAGACAAGAGGCCCCCGGGTCCCGAACCCTAAAACCCAGAGCAAGGGAGCGGAGGGGGTGAAGGCCTGATCCTGCAGATAGGTTCGAAGAGCCTCATGGCCTGAGCCATGAGCTGCCAAAGAGCGTGAAAAGCGTGCGGAAGAACAAGATAGCGGTATAGACGACCCCAGAATCCCAATACTGCACATTCGTGATGAGTGAGTGAGGGGACTTGAATACCCAGTGGCCACAGGTTCCTGCAAGGCATAGGCACTCTGGAGACCATAACCTTGCAAGCCCCAAGATGCTCCCTGTCTTTCTCAGGGCTTAGGATTATATACACCCCCCCCCCCCTTCGGCAAAATAGGTGTTCGTTAATCCTAAACCCATCCCTCGGAACACTTGGTCCCAAGGTCCGGTCCGTGGGGGGGGGGGGGGGGGGGGGGGGGGGGGAAGCGGGTTCAGCTTGCATGCAACACCTTAATCAAAGCCCTGCCCCCGCCCCGCCCCCCTCCGCCCTCCCCCGCCAAAACCAAGCAATAAAAGCATGCACGAACAATAAGAAGAGACATGAACAATATGTCTTGTCTGTGCTGTTTTACTTGTTTGTGCCTTTATGTATGTATGTGTATATATCTATATAGACATATACACACACATATCTTATATGTGTATATATATATATACATATATACATATAGAGATATATATATATATACATATATGTCATGCACACCTATCTTTACATACATTTGTTTATCTCACTTAGGCTCTGAAGGGGCTCTCGGTCCCAAACAATGCGAGAGCCCCAAGACCCTCGAAGAGGACAGTGTCCTGACAGACGAAACGTGCCCAGGCGCCCGCCCTTCCTGGCGGCTGGGGCCCTGTGGCTGTTTGGGGGGGGGGGGGGGGCTTTTCGAGGCGGTGTAAGTTACCATCAGCAGGAAGCCGCAATTCTCTACTCTAGGTCCCTCTTGGAGTCGCGCAAACGAAGTTCCTTCTTAGCCGCCCACGCAGAGTCTGAGTTTCCAGGAGGGATTGGGGGGGGGGGGGCCTGCCACTGCCATCTCCGGCATTTTACATCACGCCGCTTTGTTCCCAGAGTGTCTCTTAGGCATGTGGGCATGTCATCCCGGCGGGAAGGACCATGCCTAGAAGCTGCACTTAGGCTTCGCCTGTGGCTCCAGAAGCACTTGCTTGGGTTTCGAGGGTCGCTGAGGGCACACTTGGCGCTTTTTGAGCGGCCCGAAGCCCCAAGTGCCGCTGTTCCTGCAGTTTCGGGTTCAGGCTTTAGGGGCCTCAGACTCGGTCCAAAGCAAGAAGCATCAGACGAGAAACAGGGACCGGCCCGGTTCATGAGGCAGCCACGACTTCACAGTCATCCTAACCCCCGAGGACAGGAACCTGTGTTTCACGTTGAGGGTGGGGGGAGGGGGGGGGTCAGGGCTCCCTTGGTTTAGGGTTGGGGGGACGGGCATTGAGCTGCAAGGCCCGTGGGAAATTCGGGACTAAGGGCCCCTAAATATTCCCTTCAAGGGTGTACCCTACTTCCCCCACTTGCCTGAAAAGAAGCATTTTTGTGGGAGCTCGACTCGCTTGAGATTTCGGGTTGGGGTTGGGGGGGGATGGAGGTCTTCTAGCCACCCTAAACCCT